ATAAAAAGCTGTTTCATAAAGTATATTGATCATTCTTCAACGAATCATTATCCTTCATTTTAAATAGCAATTTAAAAAAGGTATTTTAGATACAAGTTAAAAAAAAAAAATATATATATAAAAGTATAAATTTAGAATGTCCCTTACACTTAATGAGCAACAAGTAAAAAATTTAGTAAGTGACCTTAATAATAATAATAATAATAGTGATAATAATAATAATAAACATTAAATATAAAACTAATTATACTTTTTTATCTTTTTTTTTAGGCGGTTGGTTTACAAGGAGCTGCCACTTGTTTATTAACGGCTGCTCGTACATTAACAACCAATAATAGTTCTTTGGAGAATGAAATCGGAGAGCAACGTGATTTAAATTTACTTAGAGAGTTTAACTCGGGGGATCTAAGAAGTTTTTTACTTCGATATGTCGAGACTCTTGTTGAAAATGATGTGATTTTCAAAAATTATGAAAATATTAATGCTAATCTTAATAATAGTAGTAACAGTAGCAGTAAAGGATCAAGGAAAGATAAGAATCAACAACAAAACGATACCAAAGATTTCGTGTTGGAATATTTTAATTCGCTTATTGAAAATGATCCTTTGTTGAAATCTTTTATGAAGCATGATTCTAAAAGGTCCGCAGTTAATAATAAATTTTCATCTACAATAAGAAGTGGTAAAAATAAAAATAAATCAAATGTAAATACTTTAGAAAATGATGCGCTTTTGGAAATTGAAGAACTAACTAAACCAATAGCTGCATCATCATCAAAACATAATAGCAGTAAAAGCAATGCCGTTAGCAATAGTAGCAGCAGTAGAAGCAAGGCCAATTCCAGCGCCGATACTGAAAATGGAACCAAGAAAAAACGTAATAGAATAAAAAAACCTGTTGATCCGAATGCACCAAAAAAACCTGTTAGCGCGTTTCTCCTTTACCAAAAAGATGTCCAAGATGAAATACGTAAAGAATTCCCCGACACTAAATGGAACGATATTTTACGCATTATTAGTCAACGATGGCAAAGTCTTTCAAACGATGACAAAAAGGTTAGTAATGGGTGTTAATAATAATCATGCATACATGCATGCATGCATGCATATTTTCATATTCATCTATCTATTATAAAAATCAACGTAAAATTAAACTTAAATAATAACAATATTATTATTATCATTATTAATTAATATCAGATATATGAAACCAAACTTCAACAGGCAAGGCAAAATTATGAAATTGAATATAAAACTTATATGGAAAATAAGGATAATTCATCATCAAATATGATTGAGACCACCGATGACAATAAAGAAACCGCTTCTAGTTCCAAAAGTTTAGGAAAAAAATCTAGGAATGATTTACAAGATTATACAGATGATGATGATGATGATGATGAAGTGGATGAAATAGAGGAAGAAAATGGGCAAGAATCAGATAGCGGTGACGAAAATCATAATGATGATGAGGAGGACGAAGATGAGAATGATGATGATGGAGAATCTGATGAGACAGTTGATGAAGAAGATGAACTTTCAACAAAAGCAACAAATAAATTAAACCGAAAATCAAACACCCTTGAAAATACTATATCAAAAAGTTCAAAATCTCAAAATAATAGTGGTGGTAGCGGCACGTCGAAAAAACGTAAAGAAGGGATGGATGACGGCGATGATAAGTTTAAAAATCATATCAAAAAATCCAAGAAAGACAAGATCAACTTTACAAATATTGGTGACGGAGAAGAATATGGCGATGATCTAGCAGCAAGAAAAAGATCTCATATAAAAATAGAAGGAGATGAGGCTGTTAGACCTACAATAATAGTTGGCAATAATAGAGATCCAAATAATATTAATGACAATTCAAATCCCAATTCTGATTTATACGAGGCTTTCGAACCATTAACTGATAATATCGATTTATCATCATCATCTACTGTTGCAGGAGATAATATATCAGTATTAACTGAAACAGCTATGAAAATTGGCGATCTGAAAGCATTGGGATTGGTGAATTCTACACCAGTAGGATTTATTGAAGGATTACTAGAAACATTACATGTTACATCAGGTTTATCATGGTTTTCAACAATAGTAGCAGCAACATTTTTATTACGTATGGCATTTTTACCTTTTTTAATCAGTTCACAACGTCATGTTGCAAAATTTCAGAAAATTCAACCGGAATTCAACGCACTGAATGACCAATTAAAAATTGCTAAAGAATCAAATAATCCAGCAAGATCATTAGAATTAAAGATGGAAATTATTGATTTGTATAAAAAACATAATGTTAGTCCATTTAAAGGCCTACTAACTGCACTTGTTCAAGCACCAACGCTACTTTGTTTT